CTGAGGCAGGAGAATGGCGTGAACCCGGGAGGCGGAGCTTGCAGTGAGCCGAGATCACGCCACTGCACTCCAGCCTGGGCGACAAAGCGAGACTCCATCTCAAAAAAAAAAAAAAAAAGAAAGAAAGAAAGAAAGAAGTTAGGTTAATGCCTGTTGAGACAGTCACTGTGATTATTGTGCTGAAATAACTTTGGTAGGATGACCATACCTGGTATCTTAGTCCATTGGGCTGCTATAACAAAATAGCATAAAATGGTATAATCAATGGGTGACTTACAAACAACAGAAATTTACCTCTCACAGTTCTGGAGGCTGGGAAGTCCAAGATTAGGGTACCTGAAGATTCAGTGTCTAGTGAGGGCCCACAATGTGGTTCATAGACAGTGTCTTCTTGCTGTGCCCTCACATGGTAGAAGCAGTGGAACAGCTCTCTTGGGTATATATTACAAGGCCACTAATCCCATCCATGAAGGCTCTGCCTTCCTGACTTGATCAACCCCAAAAGGCCTCTCACCTCCTCATACCATCACCTTGGAAGTAAGAATTTTAACGTATTAATTTCGGGGGACACAAACATGCACACCATAGCACCTGGTAATAATATTGGCTTAGGGAACCTTGTAGTAAAGTACATTGAAGACAAATTCACAATGAAATGTATCTAGAGACAGAGATAGTGGTTTATCTTATACATAGACTATTTTAACATAAAAATTGTTTAGTAAGAACACACTAGATATTTTAAAATTAATATTTTCATTGGTTAAAATTTGTAATAGAAATATGTCATTAAGTAAAACTATATGTAAGTATTGAAATCCACAAATATGTAAGATACAAAGAACTGCTTCAGCCAAGCAGAAGACTGGGTATTCAAAATATGTGGATGATTTAAGAGTATAAGTAAAAAAAAATGTGGAAAGGTAAATTTGGTATGCTTGATTTTTACAATGGAAAGAAATAAACATCAAGAGGGATATTGGACTAGTCATTAGTCTTTGGACACAAAATCAGAGTAAAATTGCCCAATTCTTTTAGAAGAAAATGAGGTATGGCTACATTTAGAGTACAATTTTCTTATTGCAAGGAATCCTGGGTTGAGTTTTTTATTCAACTTCATTCTCACATTATCCTTATCCTATTGGATAATATAATTTTTAAAATGGCACCAAAAGAAACTGTTTAATAGTCCATTTTGTACTGTCCATTATAGAAACCATGAAGTTATTTGGATGATAGACATAGAGATGTGCTGCTCAGATGCCTCTTTCAAGAAAGAACTTACTGCCTTTTGCTCAGTTTCTTCCTGGAGGTTTCAAGCCTCTTTGCAGGGAAGTCACATCCTTCCCAGGACAGCCTGACTGAGCAAGGTAGAGGTACAAAGATTCACCCATTTCAGCCCACTGCAGGACACTCATTCAGATGGGATTCTTGAACCAGAGTTCCTCGCCAAGTTGGCCAAGGCATGGTTCCCTTTGCTCCTTCTTTCTCCCTCTCTTTTCCTTTTACCCGAATAAATAACTTGCACCACAATCTCCATCTCATCATCTGCTTCCTGAGAACCCAACTTGTGAAACTTATATTTAGAAGAATCTCAGAAGTCTTCGTCAGATCTTCCCCTCAACTACAACAGTGTATGGTACTTCAAAGTAGCATCAGAATAGTCCAATGTGATGAAGAGTGCTGACTTTGTAATATACTTACCCATGGGTTCTAATCTTACTTGTACCTCTAATTAGCAGTTTGAACTTGGATAAAGTACATAATCTCTCTAAATTTTGGTTTTCTTATCTGTGAAACAAGGGTAGTAATATTTACTGCAAAGAACTGTTATGAAGAATGAAAGTTAAGTAATGTATATAAAATGCTTACTGTTGCATCTGGCTCATAGCAGGAAGAAAAAAATAATAAAAGAAGAAAAAAAGACTGAATAATTTACAGATAAATCTACTCAAGAAAAAAGCAGAAATGGGAAGTTTAGAGATTTTGATAAAAGTTGGAATTCTTTGTTGATATGTTCATGTTCTTTGTAATGTTGTGGTAAAAAATTTCCTAGATGATAGTTTATAAGCCTAGTTAATAAAATAACCAGGGGCAGCAGAAAAATTGTAGGGTGGGAGGCTGTGGAGGCTGTGGGAAGATCTGAAATAACTGTTACAGCAGTTGTAGCAAGAATCTTGGCCTCTCTCCGACACATGTATTGGATCTACTCACTCTCCTTCATGTCTGAATCCTTACAATAAGAAATCTGTAGAGTATTAGTTATCTGAAATTGGCTGTACTAACAGCTGAGTAGTAAGAATAACTGAAGAGAATAAGACTTATGTTAGGCTATAAGAGGAGGCAAACTCAAGGAGGGGACTTAGTGACTGTGAAAGTACAACAAAAAACCATTTAGTTATGAAATTCAGAATTAAGTTTTCCTACGTCCAATAGTACTTTAAAATGTCTTCTATGTATCTCTCTATATCCTTGACATCAGTGCACATAAGTTTTGCCAATTGGATGAAAAATGCTGATAGTTAGATTGTTATAATAGTATAGACAGCCACTAGCTTTCAAAGTGCAAGACTTGCTTCAACTTGGAAAGCAGAGTACCCGCTATGTCTTCAAGTATCCGGGCATCTTGGAAGCCATTTCTGGCACAGAAGAAAGCTTGGAAGTAGACATTTCAGTTTTTATCTATAGTACAAAATGTTATTTCAACCCCATAGCTCCTAAGGAATGAAACTAGTGTCAAAGATTTAATGCCTTTTCACATTAGTGATGTCAGCACAAAATGGTCATCTTCTCTGAATAATTTATCTTCCTGCTGCATAATTCTCTTATCTTTTTTTCTACATTTTGGCTTTTTACTGTAGATGAGAAGGTAAATGGCTGTTAGTCCCTGACAAAACCTGTGGAGCATCCTTCCCATCAATCAATTAAAAAACACTTACCTTACATTCAACATGATTTATTTCTTGTTAATACAATTGTCTCACTATATCCTTCTATTATTATACCCTTAATTCCATTAGCCATTCACTTAATGCTCACTTTAAAGCTGACCCCCAAAGAGCTTAAAAGAGAGAGGGAAGTCCGTCTAATAGTGGCATTGCCAATAAAATTCTGGAAGCTCTTCCCCTAAAGCCTTGTAGGTCACGGAAAAGATAGGTCACAGAATGTATCCTGCCTGAAAAGAATAAAGCAATCTCTCATTTATTTATTCTGATGGATAATGCTTGATGGCTTAAAAATCCCTAAGAGCTCTCATCTTAAAAGTCAACACAATAAGTTCACCAAGTGAAATCCTACACATTGCACAAGGATGGATAAGACTCTTCCAAGTTCTTAAATAAAATTTAAAAGGAGGAAACAGAGAGAAAACCATTTGTATTTTTTGAAGATTAATGACTCATTTGTTTGGAGGTAGAGCGAAAGGTTAACCTCTTAAACAGATAAGTGACACACAAAAAAATGTAGTATTATTTCTCATAGTGGTGAAGCTACATGCTGTCTAGCAAATGTCCTCCATTTGGATTGAAGTTTAAAAGCTATAAAAAGAAATCCTTATACTGCACTTCTAAAATTACAGGTTGAACAACTGCTATGATTTTTCTCAGTGAGAACATATGCTTTCTTTCTGAAATTTAATTATATGAATGTCTTCATACAATATACAAGCATATATATTTTTTATGTCAAAGCATATTGGATTAGGTCATATGTGGCAGGCTAGATATGCCTTGCTAGTAGACATTTCTGTCTGCTTCCTGGCTGATAGAAACCTAGTTTTATTCAGGTGCCCATGCATCAGAGATAGAGAATCCATCTACAGCCTAAGGGTAAGCCTGGACAGTAAAATCAGTCCTGGAAATTCCATAGCCCTTATTGGTCATTAAAGTTGAGGCAGACTTCTGGGACAAGTTTCCTCCTTTCTACAAATAATGATAAAACATGGATGTGTTCATGACCACTGTGATGCCTGGGGTCTTAATCATTATCTTATGACCTTGAGAAGAAGCAGCTAAGTACGAAGTCAACATCCTGGGGATGACAGAGTAGAAAGACAGAAGATATCTCTTCCCTTGAAACGTAATTTATCCCTGGAATTCATCAAACTGAAACTGTCTTACTTCAGTACTTTTTGTTAAATGAAATAATATGTATGCTCATTATGTCAGGTGACTAAGCATTATCTATTAACTACATCTGGAAGCATCATGGCTGATACATCATAGACACTTTTTAAAATTGTCTTTTCTCTTTTTGCTATTCGCTTCCTCTTCCTCCCCTTTCTCTTTTTCTTTCTCTGTTCCAAATCTTATCTCATTTAGCCCTAAATCTAATTAACTTATTTTATGATCTAGTGTGTGTCCTTTTGTATTTTTCTCTATATACACTTAATTACATACAAAGACATATAAATGCACATATATACATACACATATATATACATACATACATACATACCCATTGGTAAATAAGTATACAAGTTTTATGGCTTTATCAAAAAAATGGGATTATATCATACACATTCTTTTGCACCATTTTTTTTTTCATTCCACAATGCTGCATGAACATTTCTTCAGGTCAATTGGTATAGCTCTAAATTCAACACAGGTTCAGTAATATTCACGATATGGGTGTGAAAATTCAATCATTTTCCTATTGATTGTCACTCTCTTTGTTTTTAATTTATTGCTAAATAAATAAGAGTTAACATAAACCTTGGGCATATATCCTTTCATACGGATGCTTTTATTTATATGGAATAGATCCCAAGATAGCTACGTGAAAGGAAATATGCATTTTCTTTTTAGTAATTATTTTCCCTAAAGGCCATAGTGATTCACAGTTTCAACAGTAATATGTGAAAAAAACTATTTCCCCAAATACTCACCAGCACTAGTTTTCACTTCTTAAGCTTTTGTCAACTTGATAGGTATAAAGTGATAGTTCATTCTTACTCCAATTTGCATTTGTTAACATTTGTATTTTCTCTTCTAGAAATAGGATATTCTTGTCTTCTGCCTGTTTGTTGTTGCTGCTGTGTGGCTTTTTCTTCAACCTGTAAACTTGTAGAGTGTTTTATTTATTCTATAAGATAATTCTGTCATCTGTGTTGGAAATGCTGTTAAACAATCAATACTTTGTCTTTGGGCATGGTACATTTTCTAAACATAAATTTTTAATGGCAAATATGCCCATTTTATTGTCTAGTTTCTGAGTTTACAGTTAATATTAAGAACATTGTTATACCTGTGTTGTATTCATAAGCCTTTTTCTCATTTTCTCAAATTGAGATAATACTTCAATTTGTTTTTTAAAATCCAATCATTAGATTAAAAGTCATTAAATTAAAAAGACCTCAACACATAGGGGCAGTAAGTAAATGGTGGTTTCCAGGGGCTGGGAGGAGAGGAAAATGGGGATAAAGTTTCAGTTATGCAAGATGAGAAAGTTCTAGAGATCTAGTATACAAAAATGTGCATATAGTTAGCACTACTGTGCTATACACGTTCAATTTGAAGAGTATAGATTTGATGTTGTGTGTTTTTATAGTATAAAAACACATTTACACTAATTTTTAGAAGAAAAATGATGATGTGTTTCATCACAACTCAAAAGGTACCTAAATAATTTTCACAGAAAAATACACTAATTAAACAATAAAAACAAGTATATGTAAGTAATAAACAACAACTTGAATGTAAAAACAGCTAATGCATATAATGTATATGTGTATTGGAGTGCTTTTTCCTCCTTCTTTCCCATTTTATTCACCAATTTTTAAACCTTTTGGGAGCTTCAGGGTTATCTTACATTCAAACTGCACAGAAAACAAACCTTAGATAAAAACAAAAGGGGAATACTATTGGTACTATTTCAAAATTTGGAAATAGTACATGTGCACAGCAGATTCAAAAAATGTTAAAAAGAAAATATTACCTCTTCATTCCTTCTACCTGATGGACGTGTGTAAAGCAAATATTTTGGGTTCACCCAAACAAGGTGCACAATCCCAATTTATTATATGATACTGTATGACTGAAAACTATTGTGTTGAGTAAATGGTGTGTCTTTGCATGAAGCCATAATGTTGAAAAATCGCATCTTTTAATCCATTTATTTGGTATGGTTTGGGTAATAAAGCTTTACACACACACAAAAAGGAATCCTTATTCAAAAAGTGGTATAACATTTCAAGAGCCATTATGACCAAGTCATTAATTGAATAGTCATTATCAGAGAAAAGTTTGTTATCTCCTAGATTTTTTTGAAGGGCTTTAATTATTTTATGTTTTACAATTATGTCTCTAATCCACCAGGAATTTAATATTTTACATGGCATAAGACAGGATTCAACTCAATTTTATTCCAGAAG